CAATCCCACATAACATGAGATTTTCATATGTAGGTGATTTTGGATATCACTATTTCCCACAATCTCCACCTTGATATCAAAACCACCAGCTCACCATGCCAACATCCATGTGATAGCTTTATGAATTCATCATCTTTTGCCAAATAAATTATTTTATCATTCTTGCTGAAAAATAGTGCTTGCCATCATATTTCTCCACTTCAAATAAAACACTTGCATACTTTGTTATGTAATTTTCTTCAACGAATGTACAAACATTAGCCTTGTATTGAACCATGCACTCTGATACCATTAGTTAGAATTTAAAAAACCTTTTAGATGCGGAAACAAAATCCCAAAAGTTGAATCCTACCAAGATCGTGTACTAATCCAGCTAGAAACAAATTAGGAGAGTGCACGAGCCATAATACGAGAAATAAAACATGAAATATACACACCACAAGAACACAAAGATTTACATAGTTCGCCCCAAAAGAGCTACATCCATGGGCACAAAAAATTGAAATCCACAATACCAATTAACGTTACATCATAGATTTTAGGACATAGAGTTACTTTTCTAACCCACGACAAAGCACAGTCAAGCAAACCCTTTTAGACTATCTCTCCTAATCGGCACGACCCGTCGATCTCTCATCTCTATTCCACAGCTAAACTGATATCTAGGAAGAGGGCCATCTTTATTTTATAGCTAAACCACTGTCTAAAAGAACACCCTTGAGAGCAACCGAGACTTTCTCTCACTAAAAGGAGAAACCTCCCAAAATCTTTATGGGAATTGCATTTCTACAAGAAATTAGCCACTCAATCTATATAAGGCACATCTATAGAGTTTATCTTCGTATGAAGCTCTCTTCTCTCTAAGGGGACGCCTTGTCTCTAGAGGAGAACTCTGGAACAGAGGAGGCCCAACCTCTCTCTTTAGAGGAAGCCACCTTTCTCATATGGTGACTCAAATTATGCACACAAATGCTCTGCTCTTACATCCTATACATATAAGGTTAGGAGTCCACACTACATAGGAAACTTCCTATAGGTGTTATATAAATATATATCAAAACAAAAAGATGTACTCAAGAGTCCTAATCCTTTTGGATTTCTATTTCTTTTAGGAAACTTATCAATAACAATCTCAATCCCTCATATTATTGGATTTCCTTATGTGGGTGATTTTGAATATCACTATATCCAACAATTTCCACCTTGATATCAAAATCACTTGCTCACCATGCCAACATCAATTGTATTGCTTTACGGATTCTTCATCGTTTTCCATATAAATTCCTTCATCATTATTGCTGAAAAATTGTGCTTGTCATTATATTTCTCCACCTCAAATAAAACACTCGCATATTTTGCCTTGTGTTTTGCTTCAACCGAATGCACAAACATTAGCCTCGTACTGAACCATGCACTCGGATACCACTTGTTAGATTTAATAACCCTCGTAGATGCGAAAACAAAAACCCCAAAGTTGGATCCCACTAAGATTGTGTATTTATTCAGCTAGAAACAAAGATTTGTGTGGTTTACCCCAAGAGGGCTACATCCACGGAACGATATACAAGCTAGAAACAAAGATATGCGAGCCACAATACGATAAATAAAACATGAATCACACACCACAAGAACACAAAGATTTATGTGGTTCAGCACAAGAGGGCTACATCCACGAAACGACAACCTAAAATCCATTATACCAATGAAAATTACGCCATAGATTTTGGGACATAGAGTTACCTCTCTAACCCTTGACAAAACCCAGTTGAGCAAACCCTTTTAGACTCGCTCTCCAGATTGGCACGACCCGTCCATCTCTCATATTTATTCTACAACTAAACCATTGTCTAGGAAGATACTCATCTTCTAGAGCTAAACCATTGTCCAGGAAGAGACCCATATCTATTCCACAGCTAAACCGTTGTCCAAGAAGAGACCCTTGAGTGCAATCGAGACTTTCTCTTACTAAAAGGAGAAACCACCCAAAATCTTCATAGGAATCACTTCTCTACAAGAAACCAGCATCTCAATCTACATGAGGCTCATTGTGGTGTTTCTCTCCATAGGAAACTCACTTCTCTATAAATGAGGCCTTGCCACTTATGTAGAGGAGGCCCTGTCTCTCTCTTTAGAAGAAGCCACCTTTCCCATATAGTAACCCAAATAGGGCATACAAATTCTCTGCACTTTCATCCTATATATATAAGATTAGGAATTCGTACTAAATAGGAAATTTCCTATAAATGTTACATATATTTCAAAACTAAGAGATATACCAAAGAGTCCTAATCCTTTTAGATTTCTATTTCTTTTAGGAAACTTATCAATATCAATCTCAATCCCACATAATATGGGATTTTATATGTGGGTGATTTTGGATATCATTATATCCAACACATTATTATAAACAAAAATTTTAAAATCTTTGAATAATGTACAATTTGAATTTACCTGTCTAAATAAAAATTTATTCCATAATATTAAATAATTAAATATACATATTAAAGTCCCCATAATTATTAGAGAAATTTTGGCTAAAACACAAAAACTACAATATCATGTTAAAACTCAACCCCAGAAGATATTTGTAGAGGATAAAAACTATGGTTTGGAAAAAATGAAGGAAAAAAAAAATAGCAAACGAAATTAAAAGAACCACGACACAAGGATTTTCGTAGTTTAGCAAGTTGTCTACATCTTGCAAAAGTTTCTTCCAATAATAAAAAAACACCATGTAAGTGTGGAGGATATAAAGATTTACAAGCTTTATCTCACAAATCTTAAAATACATTTTTTTTCTCTCTAGAAGACCCGCCCAAAACTAGAAGACCCACCCAAATGACACAAAATCTCACCCTCTATCTCTCTTGCACTTTGTCTCTCTACAAAATATATTTTATAAATCTATATCTCTTGCACTTTTTCCCTCTACAAAATATATTTTATAAACAAGAAAGCCCAAGTAAGCACCCACGTGAGTGTTTCCTATTCCCCTTTTTAAAGGAGTAGGAAAGTCTATTTATGTCCCATAGATTTACATGATTTTTCCAAACCCAAAAGGATTCCCAACCTATAAAATTGGATCGCCATGCAAATAGGGAAATTAGGTGTGCATGAAATATCTCAAGTTCTTTAAAGATAAGAAAGTCGGATTCATGCTAATATTCTCCAACTTGAAAACATGTTTGCATTTGGACAAGTCTGCTCCAAAATTGTTGTCCATCAGTTACCAATCATTAAGTAACTATAAGCCCCAAGGAAGTTCTGCATCAAATGAAGTTCCATTCCCAATGGGGTTAGTCAACATATCTGATTGATTGTTATAAGTATGAATTTTTTAAATAAAATTCTTCTGTCTTCTATCACATCACGAAAAAAGTGATACTGAACATGAATATACTTAGTACTATCATAGAAGACTAGATTCCTTTGTAAAACAATATACTCTAATTATCACAATGAAGTGGCATTATCTTCTTACACAAGTCTGAGTTCACTAAGTAACTTGTTTAACGAAGTAGCTTATTTAGTCATATTGCTCCTTTAGATGCATCAGTTCGAGAGCCATAGAAGGGAACTTGTGCAAGATCAATAAGTAAACGAAGGGTAAGAAAATATGGCCGTCTTGCAAGCCGAAATTGTTTCTATTTTTTATGTCAATTCTCCTTCATAATATAAATTAATCAGTGATTTTATGATTTTATTGGGTTTTTCCCCAAAAATATTTGATTTTCTGGAGCCCATGGTGGACTCGAGCTTAACTTGGGTGAGGCCTAGTGACTTACCATTGTAACTTGGCTAGGCCAGGGGCGAGTCGGCTGCCTGAGCCGAGTTCTACAGCATTGGTTCCCATAATAAATTGGGTAGACAATGGTCTTATTATAAGACTTCCTAGATGGAATTTTACATCACCAAACAAAGTTGGGAATTTCACATCACCAAAACAAAGTTGGTGACTGTTTCCCAAATCAAGCAAGTGGTGAAATTATTTTACATAACAAACTTTTGTTTCTATAGTAGTTTAACAAAAGAAGAGACAAGCCAGAACCAGAATCAGAATCATGGTTACATGAAGGCTACAGAGTAACACAGAGAGTACTAGTCATCAGAAAATGCTTCAATAATGGACTGCAGTGTTGGAAGAGATATGATATTGCATTTGCTGAAACCTCCTTGGCTCAATAGAGCCCTCCATTCTTTTTCAGTCCTTTGTTTGCCTCCTAATAGAAATGCAATTATGACGAGGTCATATGCCAACCTTGAGTCTGAAAAAGCACTTGTATCATCCTCAGGACGCAAGACCACGTCGACGATGATCAACTTCCCACTTTTCTTTGCGATTGCTTTCTTGCACTGCTTCAAGATTTCACACAATTGTCTTCGTCCCAATCGTGCAAAATCCACTGCACCAATTTGAAATGAACTATTTACTCAAGTGCAGAAGGGGAGAGAGAGGAGAATGGAATGGAGGGAGCATTACATACCAAATGTTTTTGGCAATCAATGAGAGGAAAGAGATAGAGAAAGATGAGGATACAAAATTTCTTCTTCACTGTCTAGTTAGTCAGAAAACTACGACAAATAAAGGAGAAATCACTATTTTAGGACTCGGCAGAGGAGACTCGGACCCCGCCAAGTTACTCGGCCTCGGCTTACCGATTTTATGTCTAAGGTTTTAATCCCGCCTGGCAGGAAAAAATTTATTTTTATTTTGAACAATAAATGTTTCTAATTTTTTTAAAAGATAAAAAATAAGTCCCCTGTGCACTTTTTCCCAATAAGCAATTTAAATATTTGTGTTAAAGATAAGTATCTTATTATATATATACCTTATTCCATTTTATTATCCTCTTCTTTTTCAATATGACATGAACTTAGCCGGGTTACTCCCCGCCGAATAACTCACCTCGGCCAAGGTCCAAGACAAAGTATGCAATGGGCCAATACCTTCATGAAAACTGCATCGGCACGAGGGATAGAGATGAACAATGGGCCAATACCTTCATGAAAACTGCATCGGCATGTGGGATAGAGATGAACATGTCACCGCTGACATGAACAACACCCGGATGCTCTGGTGCACTCGACACAACTTGGGGGAGGTCGAAATTGATCCTTGAGATATGCGGGTGCGCCTTCACTATCGCACTCACCGCGGTCCCTGTACCACCAGCTACGTCAACCAATGATGTCAAGCCTGCAAACCCTGATTTATACTCAGAGAGCAAGGCTTCAAGAACTACCACAGTGTCGCTAGCCATGGCCTCATTGAATATGTCATTGGCACCAGTATTATTTGCTGTATACATCCATAACTTGCTACCATGAGCCTTTTCAAAGGCATCAACCCGTTCCACCACACAACGGCTAAAGCAGTGCCATGGTGCAAGGAAAATAGGGTGGTTCAGCATGGTGAGCATGGGAGCAAGGCCCGATGCCCCCGGCCTCACCAGCAATTTGGAGGCACGAGTGAGCCTGTAGTAGGCCTCACCCACCTTCACCTCTTCACTAAACACCTGCTTCTTCACCAAGAAGCGCATGACTCGTGAGAGACAACTTGAGTCGGGGGAGGGAGCTTGCAGTGAGGTGATGATCTCTGAGAGGGTGAGGGGTTGACCTTTGGCATGGATTATCTGGGGTATGCCGAGCTCGACTGCACACTTGAGTGTGAGACTGTCGACGAAGGCTAAGGTGATCTGCCAGAACTCAGCCTGGCCAAGTGCATCCTCATCCTGCATCTCCATCTTTAGTCCTTGTACATTCCTAAGCCTCATAATCGGAAGATTATATAGGAAGCAGAGGCTGTATGTATTCGTATTTCTTTGGTTTTTTTTTTTTTTCATCTAAGGCAAGTTGGGGGAAGTTTTTTTTTTTTTGCGTTTATTTCTCTTTTGTTTGTTTTGGAAGTGGGGCCTTAGTGTTTACATATGTTTTATTAGAAATTGATGCCTGAAGTGACTTGGCTTTACTCCTCTTCTTCTGTTGGTTACTTTTATGGTGAAATGTAATGGAAGTTGTGTGACTTTGAATGCAAGAGAAGGGAACCAGAGAGTGAGAGAGACAGAAGGTTTTTCTAATGAAACTTTCATTATTCCAATCCCTAAGTAAGGCTTGCTTGGTTAAGTATAATTTGAGGAATTTATTGCTAATTTTGGCCTTCAATAAAATTGAGGGGAACAAAATTATGTTTGTTTCAAATTTTGGCGTTCAATAAAAATTAAGGGGAACAAAATTATGTTTGTTTCAAATTTCCATGGGTAGTTTAGGTTGCTGGGAAAGATTTTGCACTTTCCTTACGAGGTCGTTTCTTGTTTTTTAATTTTCCTTTATGATTTACCTTACTTTTTTATTTTATTTTTTTGAACGTTAATTTACTTCTCTCTTTTTGCTTGATGCCCTTAAAGATTAAGGATTTGGGTAGTTGCCCCAACTCATCAATATGCACAGGCAAAATTTCAAATATCTTGGAAACATTTTGCAGAACTTTTGTAAAAAAAAATTGATGTTGACTTGGAAATTTTGAAATTTCAAGGTTGATCTTCCAATTTTTTTCTTCTTCGTTTTTTCTCTCTTTTCTTTTTGTACATATTAACGGTGGGAATGGAGGGTGGGACGTTATGTTGAGGCATCGCCCCCCTTAACTCCAATGCCCCATCTCCACTCCCATTGATCCTCCAATCCTTGTGCTCGGTATGAATCAATGCCTTGGTATTTGTCAAAGTGTTCTTAAATGACCCATATCAAAACCCCGAAACTAGACTCTGGTTTGGAGTTCGGATGTGATTAACCCAAGCTCTCTAAAACTGTGTGAATAGTAAATCCAAAGTAAAAGTATGGAAACATGTTTCATGCGGGCTGGCCCGCATTTCTAGAATATGCGGTCCAAACGTATAAAGTAGCCATCTTAAAGATGGATGTAAATAGGTGATCCATCTAAAGATTATATATTCTCTTTAAATTAGGATCAAATTATATTTAAAAAATATATTTATTGCCAAGCTTGCATTTCTACAATATGCGAGCTGGCCGCATAGAAACCTTGTCCTTAAAAGGATTGCAAGTGCAATGTTTTTGTATTTTATTTTTAAGAAGCCTTTCATTTGATGAAGAATGCAAAACTAGGCTTAAGAAACCAATCACCATGAAAAACTTGCATTTTTTTGAATTCGACAAAAAATTATGTTGAACTCTTCCATTTATCAAGTCCATGAAACTAGGAAATTAAGCAGAAAATTGACCGAATTGCTACGGTATTTAGGCGAGTTTCTACGGTAACTTAGCCCCAGGTACTGTACCATTGTAATATAAATCTGAGATGGGGAGGGTTACGAGCCCTGCAGGGTGCCAAGACCGAGGAACTTGGTAATGGACTTGCCCGAGTCTGAGGTTACAAACATTGCTC